TTAACTCACACTAGGCCCTCTGTACAGCATGGGATAATTTCTTATGTTTTATTAAGAACCTAGCAGTAATTATTAGGCGTACAATACCATAGCAGGTATTATAATTTTCACCTGTCAATTGTACAGGAAAGAGTCACTTTGCATAATTTCTCTACTAAAATGGCAGATTACTAGTCTAGTCTACTCCAGACCTGATAATTTACAAGGAAAGCTTAATCTTTCCTACTTTAATCAAATGCTTTCATTTCCTTATTGTGCTCCTGTAACTAAAATATTAGAATCAGCAAACCAATAACTTGATATTGCGGAATCTCTGTTCCTACAGATATCGATTAGATAAAAACTGCAATTGACTATCTATATATATAAAAGAAAGTCGTGTTAGTTACTTCGCTTATAACTCAAGAACGGCTTAACCGATTTAGCTGAAAATTGTCAGGGAGGTAGTTTAGAGCCAGGAGAAGGACATAGGATACTTTTTATCCCGTTCGAAATTAAAAAAAAGTCTGCTTATTTATTGCCATTAAGGCGGAACAAAGTTCGCCGGGTCAGCTAGTTATTAATAAGAAAGTGTATTGAAAATTTTAACATGTAATTAATCAGTGCCTCACCACACAAAGATTCGCATACGAAACCACTTCCCGTCTGTTAAGAATAAACCCCTACAATCTTGAAGAAATTACCAGTAAAGAAGACACAACAAAAAGCTTTAAAACTACGTATCATACATTGTTAGCAGTCTAAAAGATTTTAACAAACCTTAAACCATCTTACAGCCATAATCTCAATCATTGCTTTACAATTGGATTACTCCACTAGCTCCAGTTGCAAGTGCATTCCAATAGCACTTACATATTTTAAAAAATTAAGGTGGTGCAACTCAGCCTTAGACATGTAGTTTTACTATACAATTAATTAAATTATTAATATGACCCTATGGTAAATTTTTTATATGTACGAGTAAAGTGTACTTACCTAAACAGGATGTAAGAGAAAAATGAGAGTCATTCCTTTCACGGAAAGCCCATATGATTTTTTTATTTTTTCGCTCTTACGTATAACAATTTCCTGTTTACTTATATCATTGATCTTTATATTATAGGTATTATCGTTCCCACAATATAAGGAAATAGCTATATTATGGAAATAAATCAAGTTTAAAAATGTGGAAAATGGATGAAAACTGAAACGATTTTTCGGGAAATATTTTAGCTTAATGTTCTATACGAAACAATGCAACAAAAACTCGATTCAAACTCAAGCACAGACTTTTTACTTCGATTGGTTTGAATATTTAAATTCAACCACAAATACCTACACCCGTAGGTACTCACAAACATTACTATGAGGTCTCACAGTGCGCGTGGACGCACAGGGTGACACATGAACCAATCACAAAGCTCTATTCAACGCTGTGCGTTCGATTTTCTGCTTCACTTAAGCAAGTATCGTTCGTGAATACGGGTGATAATCTTGAATCTATTAATATTTTAATTAATTTTTATTAATATTTGAATTAATATATTGCGATTGCGGTCAAATACCTGCCTTGGCTAGCATAAAAAAAAAACAAGTTTTCTCGATTTCAAAATCAAGTTTTGGGTGTCTTTTACAGGCCAGTATTTATACCTGCCAAGGTGTGACGTGACTGACGCACGTAGTCTCCTGCGCACCTCGTGACAGCTTGGTAGGTGTCTGACCTCAAACGGTACGGCACGGAAAAAGTATGACGTCAACGAAACTACCAAGTCTTTTATGATCGAGCGCGTTGCTCATCGATTGATATTAAATATAAAGTGACGTCTTTTCACACGCCCTTTTTTGCGCCTTGATTCATGGTATCAAATATGAGATTTCCAAATTGATTTTGTTAAATCTTAAAGTACATAAATACCTGATGCGATTTGTCCCTCCGCTCGCCTTTTATGATACCTACCTTCAAGAAGAATGCCAAATACTCCTGGTAAATTGGAGAGGTGCTCCTGCAGCAGGCCTGGCTCACTCCGCGCGGTACATCCGATAATTACCTACAGCGAAGCGCCCCGCCGGCGGGTATTATATCAGTCGAGTGTCACGCGCGAGCCCGTCGGGACGCTGCACAGTGATTCGAGTAGAACAAGCTAGCTGGACAATATTATTTTTTTACTTTAATGGGTTTAATACACGCATTACTTACTTTTTTGTGCAATTTAAGATAAATTAGGCTTGTTATTATAATTATTATAGGTAGGTTTGAAAAAAAAATTTTTTTTTGGTAATAAAATATTTATTTCCTAAAATCAAGAGAAACAGACTAAAAAGGAAAGAAGAAACTAACTTTACAGTATAATAATAATTGGTCTTATGATGTATTAGGTGTTAAAGTATGAAATTCCCGTTTTTTATGGAGAATTTAATGAAAATCCATTTTTCGATATAAACATTTTTGCGACAGCTATTAGACCTTGAAATTTTCAGTTTGTCTAAATTTAAGTTCTAAAGTGATTTTTGTCTTAAAAAATATGAGTTCGTAATGTTCTTAACACCACTAACAGTTTTTATTAATATGTGGCAAATATTGTACACAAAAGCAAAGAAAAAAGATCACGGAGTTTGTGATAACTAACCAAGCATACTCTGGGATAAAAAAAAATGTACAAAATAATAAATATTGGGTGTCCAATATCGTCGTAAACCTTGTGTACCTAGACTTTTTGCAATACTGAAGTCAAGCAGGATGTAAAGGGCTTCTATTTGGAGGGCCAAAGATATGTATTGAGCTTTCTAATCACTAAAATGATCAAAAGCAAAATGATGATGAGTACGGAAAAATTATAAGCAGCTATCTTCGATGGACTGCAAATCCGTGCTCTTATAAAAGACTGTATTTGTAAACCATATAACACAAATTGAATCTGAAGCATGGCTAAGGTGCTTTAGTGGTAAAATATTTTTTGGGGAATGTTAGAACACCAGAATAGATATTCTTGTGTTCAAAACTGGTTGCTAAAATCCTTCAAAAATTACACACCACAATTTGAGTATTAAATTGTATTTTTTACAATAGCCATTTGAACTGAGTCCCACATAATGTGGGTGATTATAGTAAGGGACAAGGAGAACGGTTCCTTCCACCAGGACAGCAGGATAGTGGAAAAAAGATACCAAGGTACTGGCTGTTGGACTTTAATAAGTGATTATCCTGAACAAATCCATAACAGAAAACCTTACAGAAAAAGTTTTTGTAGGTTTTTTTTTTATTTGATAAAAAGCATATTTTTTATAGGGTAAGAGTCCCTATCTATCTAAGTAAAAATATTTTGAATGCATAAAATTAGTATGTTCATGTCGGTTTTCTCAGAGAAATAGCTAATAGTCTTTATTTTTATTTAATTCGACATATCTAATAATTTTCTAGTATTCAGCACCCTACTCTTATACTGAATTGGCTATAAGCTACTATACCGCACAATAACTGTCCCCAATGTTTTTGGGCGTAAATCAATATAAAAATCGAATAATACACTTATTTTTAAATATTAGAGAGCAATATTAGGGAAAATGCCATATAAAACAATTCAGCCTAAGGATTAGATGGGCACAAGTACAAGTAATACCCAAAATCACAACTACAGAAATAGTAAAATAAAGGCCTAACTTTGAAATATTTTTTTAAACAATTTTTTTACGTACTCTTAATCAATATTTTCAAAAATGTCTTATGTCAAATTATATAACAGATACCAGTGATGAAGTATGCTTAATTTGAAAGTTGTAGCTGATAAAATAAAGATTTTAGAGCCAATTATGTAAAAAACCGCGATCCGTCGATTGGTTTTTTGGCTTTTCCCAAAAAACTGAATTTTGGAGTTGTGCCCATTCATTATTAAGGGTGCGATATGTCGTAGTCAAAGATGAATTTAATTTATGAAAACTTCATATTCATTTTCTGCGGAAAGGGGACCTTGTAAGACCCTTAATAAAGGAAGGGACTGCTATAACATAATTAAAATATAACAAGTGTTTAAGTAATTAAAATTTTATTAAAATATTTTTATTTTGTCGTGTAATAATAATAATAATCCCTGCTCCGCTACCAGCGGATTAACTATTTTTAAGAATTTTTTTTATAATGTATATTTAGTTTTTTTATAATTTACATTGTAAAAAAAATATTAAAAATAAGAAGGAAATTGAATAAAGAGATAATAATCCTAGATTACAAACTATCAGTCATTTTAATCATAGTACTTATAACTAAAAAGTTTTGGTTACATTAAATGCGGCTTAAATGTAAAGAGTCATTGGTGGGGTATATCCTTATTTCAATAAATGTTTTCTAAATAAGTTACATTTTTAAATAAATAAACATACTTATCTTCTACAGTCAGGCGGTAAAATTTAAAACTTATTAATATTTAATTATTCTATACTGGGATATATGAAGGAGAATGTACGCAATTGATGTCATTTTTAGGGTTCCGTAGCCAAAATGGCAAAAACGGAACCCTTATAGTTTCGTCATGTCCGTCTGTCCGTCTGTCCGTCTGTCCGTCTGTCCGTCTGTCCGTCTGTCCGTCTGTCCGTCTGTCACAGCCGATTTACTCGGAAACTATAAGTACTACAGTGATGAAATTTGATGGGAATATGTGTTGTATGAACCGCTACAAAATTATGACACTAAATAGTAAAAAAAAGAATTGGGGGTGGGGCCCCCCATACATGTAACTGAGGGATGAAAATTTTTTTTTCGATGTACATACCCGTGTGGGGTATCAATGGAAAGGTCTTTTAAAATGATATAAAGTTTTCTAAAAAACATTTTTCTTAAAGTGAACGGTTTTTGAGATATCAGCTCTCAAAGTCGTAAAAAGTATGTCCCCCCCCCTCTATTTTTATAACTACGGGGTATAAAATTCTAAAAAAAATAGAGGTGATGCATGCTAATTAACTCTTTCAACGATTTTTGGTTTGATCAAAGTATCTCTTATAGTTTTTGAGATAGGTTGATTAAATTGACATAATAAGTTTATTATATTTGCTGCTACGGAACCCTTTTTTGTAATTAAACACAACTTTTCATCATTAGACATCCGTTTCAGTGTTCGAAATAGTGCGCTACATGCGTCTTTGCATGTACGCAAAATGTCGCCAAAAATCTTTAAGGATAACTTCTCGAAGCACAGCATTGTGATACAACTATTGCATCCTTTTCCATTCTCTGACCCAAGAAGTTTGCAAGAGCGAAAGCGGTAGATCCGAAAACTTTCGACATCCCACCTACACGCAGCGTGTATTTTTCCTTGCGTAGTGGAACTCATCTGCCGGGCCTTTCAAGCCAAAAGTAGGCATTTATCAGGTAAGCAGGTCCCATCCTTTATGCAGACTTTATGTGCATTTAACATCAGACATTGATCATCAAAATAGGCTCGAAGGCGTACCTATTCAAGAACTCTCCGTCACTTGCAATATAATTGACTTGTTCTAAAGTAATCAGCATGTTTCCAAATCTAAATTCTGCTCTTAAAACTGCAAGAGCAGCACGCTGGGAAACTGACAGCCTCATACTGAAGCCTTTCCTTTTCGTCAGCTACCAGAGGGTCGTATAAATACATCTTGATGGTTCCGATAGTAGGGGTGCATGAAGCAGCGTACCCCAATCCAGCTAGTCCCTTGAAACACTCTGAGCCTTGGTTTCTGTGGAAGAGAACGATAAATTAACTACAGAGAAGAACATAATATCTTATTAGGTCTACAAGGTATTTCAGTAAAATTGAAACTAAGATTAAAAGGCTGAAAAGCACCTTACTTTAACCGTAACTAAAATAATAACTGGTGTTTTTTGGATGGATTTTGACAGAGTTAAAACGTAGAATCTAAAAACTGAAGTTATCAAAATATCTTCTTTATGTTTACGTTCATAACTAGAGTCAAAAATAAGAACCTTTAAAACTTCAAAGACTAACATAAATTAACTTTTTCTTTCTTTATTTTTTAGCCAATTTAATTCGTAATAATTAACATCATCTGGGTTATTTTGTTTTTTAACTTAATTACACTAAATATCTAATGCGTAAGGCGTATTTTCCTGCGAAAATAATACAGTGACACTTACAGGCATTCTGTTTGCTTGATCCTCTGCTCAAATATGTTGGTTTGAAGCACAAACTTCATCGTGGCGTTGGTCCTGATTATGAACGGCCGAATTACCTGTAAACAATCATTAAAATATTAAGTTATAGTTTTGTATTAAACGACGGCGACGAAGAAAAAATAAAATACGAATAAGTATTACTTTTTTAACCATTGTAGTCAAAAATATTTGCATGATTTGTAATTTAATAAATGAACTGCAAATTAATCCATCAACTCCTATTGTAAAAACTAATTAACATCTTTCTTCTGAATAAATGTTTGTGTTCTTTCAATATAAAAAATAAATGTCGAAAATAGCTTGCTCTACCTTCGGGACAACATATGGGCTGGTACTGAGAAAAAGTGGCGGAAGAAACTCAGTCACCTTTAATCATAGGTTAATAATGAAAGTTGTTAAATTGTAGTTACCTTAACTCTGGTATCACAATTGAACTCGTCGTGGTAAGTCCGTTCCTTGAGCTCATCGTCGTAGCGTTGCGGCTTCAACAGCTCTTTTTCTTGCTACAAACACAATTTAGGAGTCAGTTAGCTTTTATTTAATTAATTATTACCATCGTATCGTTTAGAAGCGAATCAAAAGTTTTTAGAATTTAGTAAGTTTTCACTGTGAGTATTTTGATATAGGTAATAGAGCTGAAAACTGATGTACTGTTAAATTAAGAAATTCTAATGTGAAATAGAATCATCATAAAACTTACCATATCTCTGATTACTTCATCGAAATGGGCCTGAGGGAAATTGTTGGGTTTTATTTCACAGTATTGCTTGTCCTCACAACCTGCGGGCATCTTTATAACTGTACCTAAAAAAATACACAAAAATTAATTTATTTCAGTACCAAAGTTTGTTATTTAACTAAAAACAAATGTTGACTCATTCTTTTAAGTGTATTTACACCTATGTCAGAAGGAGCTCTTCCGTAACTACAGAATCATTGCTACTAACAATTGATAAAGTTAATATGGCACCCGAGAACGTAGAAATGAAGTTTAAAAATCCAGTTGAAAAAAAAATTAACTAATAGGAACCTAATAAAAAGAAAGCAAATTATTAAAATATGCAAAGTAAACAAAATAATTATATAAACAAAAACAACTTACCACAATAACTTAACTGCACGAAACACACCAAAAGAAAGTTTACCTGAAAAATGAAAATAAATTTAATTAAAAGTATTTGTAGAATTAATAACTCATTAGAAAAGACCAAAATTAGATCAAATCGTCTTATTTATAGTGAACCAATAATTACCGCAAAAACAAATGTGATCGACGCCATTTTCCGTAATGTTATTGTAAACAACAATTATTATAATTTATTAATTAATTAACAATCCAGACGTCGCGTCGGAATTGGTTCCGTGGCTTTAATGGTGTAGAGAGTGGAAGTTCAGTGCTTTTATATAATAATTCATTTTCCTGTTCATTATTGTGCTTCTTATCAACACTTTTGAGGCTGTTTCTGTAATTCCAAGCGTTTAAACAGAACTGTGTGTGACAATTTGTATGTTCATTAATTTTTATTATGTAATAAAAAATATTGTTAAAAATTCCAGACCTTAGGCCGATGGACTTATTCAAAAAAATGTTTTTTCTGTAATATTTTTTGTTAACTATGTTTTCGTACAATGTTTTGTTTATTTGTTTTTCTGAAAAAATATGTCTTGCACAGATACTGGCCAGTTAATTTGTTACAACGAAAGTTTAAGCGCGCACGCAGTGTTACGATTTCAAAAAATGCTCGATAAATTTAGAGAAAATAAAGAATTTAAAACTTGATTTAAAAATCCCGTTCCTACATCCCGAAGAGGGATATACAAAGTTAGGGGCATGACTAGTTTTTCAGCTATGTGACTGTGGCCCTATTTGTTATCTTATTAGAATTCCCCAGAGTACACTGATAACCTCTTGTACGTTCTCAGAATTTATATGGCTCATATAGAGAATAAAATTGCAAGACTTACATCCGTAAATAAGTACATTCGCTTTTTATCTCAACTAGGACGTGATTTTAAAATTAAAAATCCAAAAATCCTTTAAAATAGATTTAAATGTGTGATTTCGTAGCAGGTTGATACCACTAGATTGAGTTAACAGCACACCTAGCGGCCGTGACGTCACATCAACGCTCTGATACGGACGGGGTGAATGTGGGGAGGTTTGCGAGTAAGTGGGAGGGAGAGTCGCATTCCAGCGTGGTGCGCAGTTAGCTCGATCAGATTGTATTGTAATCCTAATAAGGACATAAATTGTGTACCTAATATGACAATGTGGTTATAAGATATACGAGTATGTGTGTTATAAGATACACCATACAAGAATGCGTGGTAAATTCAGTGAACTGCTCCTGAATCAAATGTAGCTACTACTGCTTTTTCTATTTATTTAGGTATATTAACCGGCAGACAGTAGTGACTGAGTTTGTTGCGGCGCTTCTTCTCAGCACTAGCCAAATGTTGGTCTCGAAGCGCTGGTAGGGTAAAAAGATTATGAGACATGTAGAGGCTCCTTAAGAGCAAAATATTTGACGATTTGTAAGAACTATTTAATAGTCTATACCAGGGGTGTCCAAACTAGATGGGACCTAGGGCCAATAAAAATGATTAAATACATTGGTGGGCCGCAAAATATTTATAAAAATAAAATACTGGTACTAATAATATCGTTATTTATTATCTACTTTTTCATTAATTTGTCTTTTACAATAATTCTGTCAACATCAACCTCAATATTAGTAGTAGGCGCAGTGCATGTTTAAGTGAAGTATCTGTCAATGAAGACCTGTATTTCGATTTAATAAGCTTCATTGTTGAATATGCATTCTCACAAAGGTAGGTACTGCCCATCATCGAGCCCATTTTTTGCCCGAAATTCGTCAGTTTCGGGAAACGTTCAGCGAGGAGCTTAAAAAAATCAAGTGCTGTTTCAGTTCTGCCCTTGTAAAAGGGGTCTGATTGCAGATCACACAGTTGCAGTTGATAATCAATCTTCACACTCTCAACTGCGATCGTTAATGGATGAGTGAAGAGTGCTATATCACTCACAATTTTTTTTAAATCTGCAAAACGCCGTTCAAATTCGATGATTATTTCGTCCATGTATTTGAGGTGCTCCAAAAAATTACAGAAGATAAAAAAGATTATATTACGTGCCGCAATAATCCAAACCGCGGGCCGCACGTGGCCCGCGGGCCATGGTCTGGACAGCCGTGGTCTATACAAATAAATAAATTTTGAATTTGACTTTGACTTTTGTCAATAACCGGTATTTACCGTAATTGTTCTAATTCTGTGGTTTTCTCGATTGACTGACGGGGAAAGCTGTAAAACGTTAATAAATTTACTCTTTACATGACAATAACGCTAAAAATAAGTAATTTATCTTTGAGCTTTATACAGGCAACTAGCGGCCGCCCGCGACTTCTTAAGCGTGGATCCCGTTTTACCCCCTTAGGGGTGGAGTATCGTAAAATCCTTTCTTAGCGGATGCCTACGTCATAACATCTACCTACATGCCAAATTTCATCCCGATCTGTCCAGTGGTTTGGGCTGTGTGTTGATAGATCACTATGTCAGTCAGTCAGTCACCTTTGAGTTATATATAATAATAATAATAAATACACTTTATTGCACACCAAAGATAAGAACAGAAAGAAAAGGAACACACAAGGTACAACTAGGCGGTCTTATCGCTATGAAGTTATATGTCAACGTGAAATTGTGAACTCTGTCAGTTTATAATATAACGCGTTAGATTGTAAACTAACAGTGGGTTAGGTTAGGTTAGATTGTAATTTAACTACGTCAAATTATAATCTGACGGAATTCACAATTTTACGGTGACATCTACATTTAAATAGTTTTTAGTGTATTTGTATTTGTTTCAAAATCGAACCTATTAATAAACACTTAAGATGCCAGATGCCACAGTGCTTACGTTAACATTCCGTCGTCTGTACGTTTTACTTGCTGTAACAATATCTAATATGTCGTCACCCAGGGGAGTACGTTGACATTACGTAATGGGACTCTATACGTTACAGCGTCAGAAACTCAATATCTGAAGTATTACGTCGACGATGACGTAATTTACGTCAGTTTTACGCGAAGGCGTAGTTACGCAGTGGATCTCTACTTACACCCTAGATGAGGTTGGGTCAATAGAATATACAGGGTGGAATTTTGTGCTGTCATCTGGAGGGAAAGTACTCTTAATACTGTAGATAGAAAAAGTTACTCAAAGAAAACATTCCTTTATTCTTGAAAAGAAAAAGAACTGCATTCAAAGATTTCCGAAAATGTTTCGAAAATTTACCACCATACTATACAATTTTCTGTACCTAAATTAATTACAATTATTTAAGATTTAATATTTCTTAGAGAGGTTTTATCTTTATACTTAACCCTAACGATTGATTCAATAAAAATACAGGCTGTAATTTTTAACAGATTTGAGCTGGTTCGATTCTCGGGTCTGACAAGCGGGTCTGGCAAGCTTTGAGTAAAATTTTCTATCTACAGTATTAAGAGTACCTTCCCTCCAGGTGGCATTACAAAATTCCACCCTGTATATAGCCACCCGTCTTATTTTAAAACTATGCTACTACTAAGCAAAGCTCTACTAAATATAAAATTTATTAATAAATATCGACGATCGTGGACCGACGATCTGGTAAAGGTCGCGGGATGAGCCTGGATGCGGGCAGCGCAGGACCGTTCATTGTGCAAATCCTTGGGGGAGGCCTTTGTCCAGCAGCGTCATTTGGCTGAAACGAACGAACGAACGAAATTAATATCTTTGGACCCTTTATATTGCGTTGCGCCATCTAGTCCCAAACTAGGCAAAGCTGTACTGTGGGGTACCAGAAAACGAATACTGTTATTTACTTCCGTACAAGAAAGTTGAATGTTAACTTTTACATAAAATCATAATATTTAATTGAAATTCTAGTTGGATTATCGCAATGAAGTCATCAATCAAACTTGTTATAGCGCTAAAATATCAACCTACGTAACATTAAAGTGCAAAATAGCATTATTTAAGTTATTATATTCTGGTACGGTCTCAGGCCATCCCCTTTTTACGCAGTATGTGGAACTCGAATGTTAGTCATGGGATTTGGGATAACACTTAGGTCAAATGTGAGAAATGCTTATGTCATTCGAAAGCTTAAAATTACTTTAAAGATGAGACACTCTAAGGTCATAAACACTGTGACATTTAATGCAGTTTTAATAGAGTTTACGAGTATTTTGTAACAAAAATTAAGTCTTTTAGTGTGTTGTAGTTTCTTTACTTTTAGCTTGGTCCACGGGCCAAATCGCTAGTTCGAATTTTTAAATAGTTTTTTTTGCCAGTGACTGAAGGGTTTCGCCTTCAATGTTTAATTAATAAATTAAACATCAAAACAACAAAAATCTACTCTAGAATCTGGAACTTTGACTGGGGGCCCAGTCACTGGAAGAAAAACTATTTGAAGTGACTTGACCCGTGGACCAAGCTAAAAGTGAACCAAGTCACTTGGAAGACTCAAAGATACCTGCCTATGTTATGTTATGCATAAAAAAAAGAATTATGTAGGATTGTAGGCTGATGTGCTGTAGTGCTGTAAACAATATCATAATAATATGAGCTGTCTCTATAGGGACTAGGTACTTAAAGAATATGCAAACTCTATGTATATGTGACAGGTTTCTTTTGTGTGACACCAACAAAAGACCAATATTTGATTTGCGGTCGCTGAGTTCATCAGTGTGCTTACCATGGGTTTACGTTAGGTGTGCTCGCTAGCGACTGCGTAAAAAAATGACATTAATTGTATGACATATTGTGCAGCGCCCCTAGCGGCTACTTTCAAGAAACAAAATCTTCATAGAGATTTTTGACGTATTCGCTAGCGAGCACACATAACGTAAACTCATGGTAGGTACACAGGTCTTTTGAATACGCGGAAGAATGTTTCATGCACCTGTACCTGTAAAATTAATATCTATTTCGTTTTACCTTTACAACATGAAAATTTTCCTCACAACCACCCAAACTCACACCAAAAGGGACCTTTTCCTTTACCTCAATCAAAAGTGTCTTTCACAATAACCAAAATTCATTCGTCACTAAGTTATTCTAGATCTTGGACATCCCATACTATTATTTATTTATTTATTGTTGACATAAAGGTGAGTATAAACTAGAGCATTTCTATGTAATGTGACGTTTTTACGAATGGTACAAAACAGGTAAAAGCTCAGTTGCCAAAACATTTGATGTAAAGTAACGTTTCTGAAAATGCTCAGAGCGCTCACAGCGAGTGTGGGTTTACTCGTAACACTTCATTGTTCCTTGCATTCTATCTTTGTTGAAATGTATATCACCTACGCTCGTGC